TGACTCCTATGTGTGAAGCACAAAATGGGAGTCTTTGCAGTTAGTGTGTCTGTGTGTGTGTGTGTGTGTGTGTGTGTGTGTGTGTGTGTGTGTGTGTGTGTGTGTCCGAGTGTCCGACTGTTCCACTGCTATCTCAAGAACCATACATCGGTTTTTGATGAAACTTGGTACATAGATGCTCTGAACATATTCGCAGTTTTGATTAGGTTTTGGTAAAAATCTGTGCATATTAATTACCTAATTTGCATGATAATTAGCTATTTTTTAGTGGTTCCATGACTGTTCCACTGATATCTAAACAACCACTCATTGGATTTGATGAAACTTGGTACATAGATGCTCTGAACTAATGCTAGGTTTTGATTAGTTTTTGGTAATAATCCGTGGATACTAATTACCTAATTTGCATGATTAGTCAATTTTCGGTTTTTCCACCGATATCTCAAGTACTAATCATCGCATTTCAATGAAACTTGGTACATAAATGTCATATGACACTGCACAGACCTGATAGTTTTTATGGTAATATCAGTACATATAATTACCTAATTTGCATAATTAATTAATTTTCAGCTTTTGATATAAGTAGTGAGCATTACATTTCAATGAAACTTGGTACTTACATACTCAAGGGCTATGCAGAGATTGATTGTTTCGGATAAATATTTGTGCATATTAATCACCTAATTTGCATAATTAGTTAATTTTCGGTTTTTCCACTGATATCTCAAGTACTAATTATCGCATTTCAATGAAACTTGGTACATAGATCCTTTAGGACTATGCAGAGACCTGATTAGTTTCAGGGTAATTAATTGTGCATATTAATTACCTAATTTGCATAATTAACCAATTTTAAGCTTTCACACTGATATCTAAAGTACTATTTTCCATTTTAATGAAACTTAGTACAAAGATGCTCTAGGACAATGTACAAACCTAATTAGTTTGGGGTAAATATTCATATTCATATATTCATATTATTTCCCTAATTAGCATAATAATTCATAATTTTTTGGTTCTAATCACATTTCATTTAAACTTGGTACATAGAGTTTTTGTTACATTGCGCAGACCTCATTAGTTTTACAATCAAATCTGTTCATGTTAATTTTCTGATTTGCATAATTAGTTTTCAGCTAAATAATTTCAAATTATATTTAATGTGTCTCCAATACTCTCAGCACATAGGGGTTCTTTCTAAGCTTTCTTTGATTATGATTTGACTATCATTGACAAATCGGTGATGAATAAACATATAGCTTATTAATCAATAAATGAACAAATATGTTTGTATGGCATCTCGCTTTGCCGACACCACCACCACCAACACCAAATACCGCAGGGCATCCGTGTAAGTGCTACCGTCAAAACCAACCTGATGCCATACAGAACTTCAGAGTCTAAGAAAATAAGTTTTGGAAAAATAAATCGGGTTAAAAAATGAATGAATAAATAAACAACTTGGCAAACAAAATCATGTGTCTAGTTTTCTGCCAATAATAAGTGTTTAATATTTTTTTGAACGAGCTGCGCAAGATAATTGACCTAATTTTAGCCGGGATTTTATTCCATATTTTTCCACGCGAGTATGTCATTGAAAACTGGCCAAATGTTGTACGGGTATATTCAACGAAAAGATTTTGATTGTGGAGTTGTCTGGTTTAATATGAATGATGGATAGGTTTGAAATAGTCATTAATATTATGAGCAGAATTATGGTAGATTAAGTCATGGATGAAAGTACAGGTGACTTATTTGTGCATTTTATAGATATCAAGGATGTTTAATTTTTTGAATAAAGGGGCCCGAGTGTTCAGTGAATGAACTAAACGTCATTGCACGAACTAACATTTTCTGGGTCATATAAGTGATATTTAAGTGTGAGTGATATGTATTACCCCAAACCTCCAGACCATAAGTAATATTCGACTGTATAAGGGAATTATAAAGCAATATTAAAATGTTAAGGGGTATGACGTTTCTAAGTTTATATAATAGGCCACACTTTTTTCTAATTATACTGTTGATGTGATTCCACTGGCCAAGATTTATTCACTAACGAATGCGACTTTGGGGGAACCTTGGTTAAGTTTCACAGGTGCTTGTGTTCGACCTAGCCTGGTTGACGCATTGAATTGCCATTTGATAGGAAGATGGTTGCACATCCCTGTCATGTAGTACCAAACATGAATATGACTTCTGTGGAAAAATGCACTATGTGTCAGCACTAGCACTTGCAATTTGCACATACAAAAAAAAGTTAGGAGAGACAACAGGGACATTCAATGTTCGAAACTGTCGCCTGGCACAAATTATTTTTTAAAATAAAACAAAACAAAAAAAAACAGCAGTGCCATCTCGGCCTAGAAGTTGCTTGTTTGAAAACTTCTCTAGGCTATATTTTTTGTTACCAACAAATTT